AAACGCCACTACACTCCTTTTTCCGCCATTTCCAACGTTTCGTCTCCAACAAGCTACACACTTCCTTCGCACTGTAGCAGTCTTCATCTCTCTCTCTGTCTACTCGGAGTCGCGATTTTCGCTGTCTTCATCTCATTGTCGCCGGAGCGTGTTTTGTTCACCATTGTCGCCATTTTCGCCATTTTCATTCTAGCATTGTCGCCCGTTATCATCGCATTCTCCATCAGGTATAATGTATTTTTGTGATTTTTTACTGTTAACGTTGTGTTTTTTGACTGTTAACATTCATATTCGCTGTATATTCTCAAACAGATCAATACTCTGTTTTTTTTTCTGTTTGTTTGATTGTTTTTTGGTGTTTTCTGAAATGTTTGTGGACAAATAGTTGTGATATTGTGGATATATAGCTTTATACTTGTGGTTTTATAGTTTAATACTTATGCATGTCTGAAAATATCATTCCTCTCTTCAATTATTGTGTTTCTGAAATGTTTGTGGACAAATAGTTGTGATATTGTGGATATATAGCTTTATACTTGTGGTTTTATAGTTTAATACTTATGCATGTTCGAAAATATCATTCCTGTCTTCAATTAGTGTGTTTCTGAAATGTTTGTGGACAAATAATTGTGATATTATGGATATATAACTTTATAATTGTGGTTTTATAGTTTAATACTTATGCATGTATGAAAATATCATTCCTGTCTTCAATTAGTGTGTTTTCTGAAATGTTTGTGGACAAATAGTTGTGATATTGTGGATATATAGCTTTATACTTGTGGTTTTATAGTTTAATACTTATGCATGATCGAAAATATCATTCCTGTCTTCAATTATTATGTTTCTGAAATGTTTGTGGACAAATAGTTGTGATATTGTGGATATATAGCTTTATACTTGTGGTTTTATAGTTTAATACTTATGCATGTATGAAAATATCATTCCTCTCTTCAATTATTGTGTTTCTGAAATGTTTGTGGACAAATAGTTGTGATATTGTGGATATATAGCTTTAGACTTGTGGTTTTATAGTTTAATACTTATGCATGTCTGAAAATATCATTCCTCTCTTCAATTATTGTGTTTCTGAAATGTTTGTGGACAAATAGTTGTGATATTGTGGATATATAGCTTTATACTTGTGGTTTTATAGTTTAATACTTATGCATGTCTGAAAATATCATTCCTCTCTTCAATTATTGTGTTTCTGAAATGTTTGTGGACAAATAGTTGTGATATTGTGGATATATAGCTTTATACTTGTGGTTTTATAGTTTAATACTTATGCATGTTCGAAAATATCATTCCCGTCTTCAATTAGTGTGTTTCTGAAATGTTTGTGGACAAATAATTGTGATATTGTGGATATATAACTTTATAATTGTGGTTTTATAGTTTAATACTTATGCATGTATGAAAATATCATTCCTGTCTTCAATTAGTGTGTTTTCTGAAATGTTTGTGGACAAATAGTTGTGATATTGTGGATATATAGCTTTATAATTGTGGTTTTATAGTTTAATACTTATGCATGTATGAAAATATCATTCCTGTCTTCAATTAGTGTGTTTTCTGAAATGTTTGTGGACAAATAGTTGTGATATTGTGGATATATAGCTTTATAATTGTGGTTTTATAGTTTAATACTTATGCATGTCTGAAAATATCATTCCTCTCTTCAATTATTGTGTTTCTGAAATGTTTGTGGACAAATAGTTGTGATATTGTGGATATATAGCTTTATAATTGTGCTTTTATAGTTTAATACTTATGCATGTATGAAAATATCATTCCTGTCTTCAATTAGTGTGTTTCTGAAATGTTTGTGGACAAATAGTTGTGATATTATGGATGTATAGTTTAACAATTCTTATTTACAGAAATGGCTCGTGAACCTACACTGGCTGAGGATCTTAGAGAAACAAAAAGAAGAAGAACAGAGTACCGGACAGCAGCAATTCTAGATTCACAAGCAGCTCAGAGCTCTAATCCAACTAGTGAACAACCAGCAGCAGCCCTAAATTCACAAGCAGCTCAGCGCTCACGCCCTGCTAAGGAAACAACTGTTGCAGAGACTTCAACGAGACGGCGCCGACAAACTAGAGAACACAGGAGAGATTACTTCAATACGAGGATGGGGCCAAAGCTGATGTTTGATCTTGTCCAGAGGCTCTCACCACGACAGAAACAAGCTGTCGTAGAAACTGGATTTGGTGGACTTCTTCATCTCCAACTCTGCACCAATGAATCAAAGTTGGTGCAATACCTGCTGGACAACTTTAATGTTTGCAGGTGTGATTTTGTATTAGAGGATGATAGTCTCCACATTGAAGAGGAAGATGTCGAATACACGTTGGGAATCCCGCGAGGGCCTCTGAAGGTCAATGAGGGGACAAAGATGGAAGACACCTCAACCCGTGAATACAAACTGCTGCTGACTTCATGGAGAAGGAGGTGGGGTATTACAGCAGGCTCGCCAATAACTACACAGATGCCAGATGAGATTGTTAGGAGAGCTGATCATGGTGATGAGTTCAAGAGGGATTTCGTAGTCTTTGCCGTTTCCTCCATGCTTCCAGGAAACACAACACGCTACTCCAAGTACAGGATCTTAAACTCATTGATTGATGTTGATATGATTAAAGAGTACAATTGGTGCGCCTACACATACCAATCTCTCATTGACTCGATAGATAGTTACAATGAAGATAGAAAGAGAAGCTTTTGGGGGCCAATGACATTGATATTGGTCAGTTCTTATTGTCTTTAATCTAGTTGCATGAATTTTATGTAGTTGTAGGTGTATAACTAACAATTTATTATGGATATATATGCATGAAACTTGGAATATACTCAGTTTAATAAGATCCTTTATGTAGTTTAATTTGTGGATATATAGTTTTAAAATTGTGGATATATAGTTATGTGATTATGGATATATAGTACTCTGTGAATATATGAATGTATTACTCTGTGGACATACTGTTAATAATTCTGGATATATATTAATGTGTTTTTGGATGTATAGTAATGGGTTTATGGATATATATGCATGACACTTGGAATACACTCAGTTTAATGAGGTCCTTTATGCAGTTTAATTTGTGGATATATAATTTTAAAATTGTGGATATATAGTTATGTGATTATGGATGTGTAGTACTCTGTGAATATATGTATGTATTACTCTGTGGACATACTGCTAATAATTCTGGATATATATTAATGTGTTTTTGGATGTATATTTATGGGTTTATGGACATATATGCATGAAACTTGGAATATACTCATTTTATTAATATCATTTTTTATTTCTGAATTTTGTGGATATATAGTTTTAAAGTTATGGATATATAGTTATGTGATTATGGACATATAGTTATGCATTACACTGTGACCATGCAATTAAGAATACATGGATAAATTGTTCTAAATTCATCTTTAACATAATCTTCTGTAATTTGTAGCTGTTCTACTTTGATCGAGTAGAATTCAAAGGAATGAAGATCAACAGGACATACCCTAGCATACTTGCTTGGACAACCACGCTTGTAAGAAAGAGAGTCAAGGCTGAAAAAAGGGCTGGTGGGTTTGGAAAAGGAAGGGTTATCCCTAGAGTTAAGAAGCCAAGGACTGATGCTACCACCTCACTGCAACAACCTGCAAGCACTGCTGCTGCTACAACCTCACTACCACAACCTGCATTTACTGCTGCTGCTACTACTTCTTCTACTCCTGCTACTGCAACACCGACACCAACTACAAGTGAGCCACTCTCAAGTGTTGATCGGGTGACCCGTGTGCTCCAAAAGCTAGCATCAGATGTCCTGGAGTTTGGTGAAGCTATGTCTGAAATTGGAAAGCAGGGCGCACCTATTGAAGTCATGAAGAAAGCGTTCTCAGGGATATCAAACATGCTAGGTGCTGCAAGCGCAATTGAATCAACTTCCATTCCAACTGAATCTCAGTTGGATGACATATTCTTTGGGAGTGAAACCTTCACCGCTGCAGTGGATTCATTGGTGGAAGCATTTCAGAAGACAACAAGAACCATGGAATTTGAAGCTCCATCATTTGATTTGGGAATACACTGCAATGAATCGCAACCGCAGCCATGTGAGCAACACACAGAGCAAGTAGTTGAAGAGGACCTACCATTGGATGCTTTGGTTCAACAAATTGGAGAGGATGCAGGACTGTCAACGACCTTGGGAGCACAAGTAACTCCTCCACTTGTTAGGGTCCCATTTCAGAGATATGTTCGTCATGCCGCTGCTACTAATGCTGATGTTGATGACTTTGATTGGTAAATTTACAGTTTGTTATTTGCATTTGGCTTTAACGTTATGAATTTATAGTGCTAAAATTATGAATATAAACTTATGAACATTTTTACAACTGTGGACATATAGCTTTAAAATTGTGGATATATAGATATAAAATTATGAACATTTTAAATCTGTGAATATATAGTTCTATGATTATGTACATATATGTTTAATATTATGGATATAAAGTTCTAATACTGTGGATATATAAACAACAGTGCCATGCAAGAAAGTGAGTCTGATGTTGAGGACGTGACTGTTAGGATGAGACCCCAGCGACGATTCAGGAACAAACCTCTTTGTTTGAGGTCACCATACTGGACACAGAATGCGGGTTTTATACGCACTGCAACTCCACGGGAAAAAATCATTTCAAACTATGCATTCTTGAGTGTGTCTACCGAACACCCAGAAGAGTATGTTTGAACACATATATTTATAATAACCTTTAAATTACTTAGATAGTTCATATTATTATAACTATTGGTGTTATTATTATTATTGTTATTTTGGTGCTGTAGTGAGTTGCTGTTCAGCTATGGTGACTACTACCTAACAAGGCGTCACTTCTCAACTTTGAGCAATGGCGAGTTGGATATAGACTTCTTGAATATTTGGTCTTTGCGGCTAACTTTGAAGAACACAGAACGTGCTGTTGGAATACCAAAACGCGTATTCTTCACCACACTGCCACATGTAAGAGTTATTTTTGACATGCAGATGCGCATTTTTAAAAATCTAGTACTCTAAGCCTTTTGAATACTCATTTTTTGCATTTCTGTGTATTCAAAAACAGCTGCAGCTTGATCCATCTGATGATTGGATGAAAAGTCTCCCAGCTGAGAAAAGGATGGAAAATTTCAATGATAGATTGAATTATGAAATATCAAGTTTTGGAAACCTGGAAATCAGTGATGCAGACCTTGTAAGATCTATTACACACACTTAATTTAATAATTTAAGATTTTATTATTGATATATATGCATGAAGCTTGGAATATACAAAGTTTAATATGATCCTTTATAAAGTTCTGAATTTGTGGATATATAGTCTTAAAATTGTGGATATATAGTTATGTGATTATGGATATGTAGTACTCTGTTAATATATGAATGTATTACTCTGTGAACAGACTGTTAAGAATTCTGGATATATGGTAATGTAGTTTTTGGATGTATAGTTATTAATTTGTGGATTTATATGCTTGAAGCTTAGAATATACTCGGCTTATTAGGATCTTTATAAATTTCTGAATTTTGTGGATATATAGTTTTAAGATTGTGGATATATAGTTTTATAATTATGGATATATAGTACTCTATCAAATATGAATGTATACCCATGCAGTTAACAGTACCTGGGTATGTAGTTGTTTCAAATAATAACCTTTTGTTTTGGAATTAGATATTTTTCCCAGTGCATCGCCATGCACACTACTTTGTTGTGTGCATAAATGTCAAGGAATCCAAGGTTCAGGTGATAGACAACAAGGAATTGCCTGCTGGTGTTTCAGAGCTTGATAAATATGGGGACTGTCCATACAAACTGGTAGCTTATATTATATTAAAAAATCTCCTTATTGTCACCTATATATTGAATTTAAAACATTATGAACATTGAGCTAATTTTTTACCAGATTGAAGCATTCAAGGCGTACCTGGCAGCAGGACAATCCACCTTGACTCACAAACTGAACAGCATGCCAGTAGAGTTCCTTGCCATGCACTGGAAAAATGCAGAGAATGTCACCGACTGTGGCATATATGTAATGCGGCATATGGAGACTTACATGGGTGGAGCTCTCGAGAACTGGGATCCTGGGTTCAAGAAACATATGCGCACGAATGTAAGAGTAACATAAATATATTACATTCCAACTACATCAAAAAGTGATGAAAAAATTACAATGAACTAGTTATTTATTTTTCTTATTTTACAGGCTAGCTTCATTTTTGAGTTGAGGGCAAAGTATGCTGCTTGTATCATCACGTCAAAGCTGAACAGCGTCAAAGGCGAGGTCATGAAAGCTGCAAAGATTGAAGACAAGAAGAAGTAAAACTGGAAAGATCAATGAATGTTTTTGTGGATGAATATTTTAATATTTTCTGTTCTTATGGTCGTTTTGTAACAACTCTATCACAATTTTTGAAATTCGATCTATGAAATTCACTGAATATATAGTTCTCATATTATGGACATGTAGGTTTAAGATTGTGGATGTATGGATATAAAATTATGAACATCTTACATAAGTATAAACATACCGTTCAAATATTCATATATTCATATTTCAAGAATTATGGACATATAGGTTTAAGATTGTGGACATATTGATATAAAGTTATGAATATTCGTTCAACTGTGAACTTACATTTTACATAAGTGATCAAGTTCACCAGTTTACATATTGATATATAGCTTTAATATTGTGGATATAATGATATAACATTATGAACACTTTTACTAATTTGACACACAATTCCAATATTTTGTGGTCATATAGTTCTCAGAATTATGGACATATAGGTTTAAGATTGTGGACATATTGATATAAAGTTATGAATATTCGTTCAACTGTGAACTTACATTTTACATAAGTGATCAAGTTCACCAGTTTACATATTGATATATAGCTTTAATATTGTGGATATAATGATATAACATTATGAACACTTTTACTAATTTGACACACAATTCCAATATTTTGTGGTCATATAGTTCTCAGAATATGTATGTATAGCTCTAATATTATGGATATATAGCTTTAGTATTATGGATATGTAGCTTTAATATTATGGATATATAGCTTCAAACCTGCAAATCAACAAGTACTAAAATTTTGAATACACAGATCAAACAACTTGTAAATTGATATCCTCAAAACAGCTAGCTACCAACTGGTATTAACCCCACTCTCAATCTACAACTGCATTATCATCTACATCATTACTATACTGACAAAACTCCGAACTCCCAGAACTTGGATGTACAAGGTACCCATCCCCGGCAATCTCAGATAGACTTTCCAAAACCAACGACTGAACAGCACCCTTTGTACTCGAAGCAACTTTATTGCAGCACTCCTCCTCCCCCTTGCAGCACTGTACTTCTTTTCAATAACACTACTCCTCCTTACGTTACGCTCACCTTTTGATCTCCGGTTTGAAGGATTTTGAATGACACCACTTGAAGATGAAACACCGCACTCTTCAATATGCACATAGCCAATCTCAGCTTCAACCTTTTTCTTTGCTTCCTCAATTGCTTCATCACAGAACTGCCTAGTTACACTGTTATCTTGACTAGATGAAATCAGCTTTGAAACTTTCTGCAAATCTCCACAACCCAAATTGAAGGAGGGACACCAGCTCTACAAAACATTGAACCAGTATTCACATCCCTACCATCAGCAACCTTTTAGTCCACCTTTTCATGATATATTTGTTAGGAATACTTGAAACACAGTGTATATGAAGAATGCGTAAACAATGGCAGCATAAAATTCCTAACTCCGAAATCAACTTGCAACTACACGAAATGTCTAAGGTTGACAACTTAAAACTGACTTCATGCCTTATAATATCTATATCTGGACGCCATACGTGATACTTGAACTGACAACCTTCATTCAACACCATTTCTTGATGACAGGCATTGCCTTTCATGAATTGTTCCTCAAACCAAAAAATATATCTCAATCGTATATACCTCTCTAGCGTGTAACAGAAGTTTCACGTGCTCCATCATCATGTTGGGTACCCTTGAGTA